TAAAAAAAAAAAAAACTACTAGAAACAGTAAGAGCAATGGGAAACAATTTTGTATACAGAGTGTGAGAAGAATATGGCATGTTTTTTTATATGAAGAGTATGCAAGGAATACAAGATGGATTTTTTAAAGTAAGTTTTCCTTAAAAAAATGGTTGTTTCAGAATAACAAAAAGAAAAAGAATAAGACAAAATGTAAATGAATATAGAAAACTGTTGAAGGTTTGTAGGAAAAAAATTTTATGTTGTGAGGTCAATGCGGGCTAAAATTGAATAGATATATTTATAAGGGCTTTTAAATAAGTTCAATAATATTATAATACAAACCTAGAGTTTAATTTTCTCTCTCTTAAAAATCACAAAATATCTTAGAGTATTAGTCTGCTTTTAATGAAAGAGTATATAAGGTTTTCTTTACCTTTAATGTAAGCTTCCTAGGAAACAAAATTTTTTTTTCAAATAAGCTCTACACCCAATGTGGAGCTTGAACTCACAACACTGAGATCAAGAGATACACACTCCACCGACTGAGCCAGCCAGGCACCCCAGGACACAAACACTCTTCATCTCATCAAAATATTTCCTAGGGTTCACATTGTCTTTATCAGGTTTTTAATTACTTAGAAAAACTAACTCTTCAATATTGAAAGAGCTAAGATTTTTCAAAACCATGTAACTTTCTGTATTTGCCCTTGAGATTTTTAAAAATATAATTTATTGTCAAGTTAGCTAACATAAAGTGTATACAGTGTGCTCTTGGCTCTGGGAGTAGAATCCCATGATTCGCCACTTACGTACAACACCCAGTGCTCATCCCAACAAGTGTCCCCCTCAGTGCCCATCACCCATTTCCCCTCCTCTTCACTCCCTTGCATCAACCCTCAGTTTTTTCTGTATATTTAAGAGTCTCTTATGGTTTTCTTCCCTCTCTGTCTGAAACTATTTTTCCCTCTTCCCTTCCCCCATGGTCTTGTTTTCAGTTTCTCAAATTCCACATATGAGTGAAAATATATGATATCCGTCTTTCTCTGACTGACATATTTCACTTAGCATAATGCCTTCCAGTTTCATCCACATTGTTGCAAATGGAAAGATTTCATTCTTTCTCATTGCTGAGTAGTATTCCATGGTATATATATATACACATCTTCTTTATCCATTCACCAGTTGATGGACATTTGGGCTTTTTCCATAATTTGGCTATTGTTGAAAGCACGGCTATAAACATTGGGGTACATGTGCTCCTACGAATCAGCACTCCTGTATCCTTTGGATAAATTCCCAGTAGTACTGTTGCTGGGTCATAGGGTATTCTATTTTTCATTTTTTTTAGGAACTTCCACACTGTTTTCCAGAGTGGCTGTACCAGTTTGCATTCCCACCAACAGTGCAAGAGTGTTCCCCTTTTTCCACATCCTCACCAACATCTGTTGTTTCCTGAGTTGTTAATTTTAGCCTCTCTGACCAGTATGAGGTGGTATTCTCAGTGTGGTTTTGATTTGTATTTCCCTGATGATTAGCTTAATTGACACTTTGGCTGAATGGATAAATAAGTGTTTCACAGTGACCTGTGATTCTATTTGATTAAGTTTTTTAAACCTTTTGATGTTTTTGACAAACTTCCCAAAATCAAATTCTGAATGAAGTTTTTTTGACCTTGAACTAACTTAGCAATTTCCCAGAGGGTCCTTGGAAGATCTCAAGGGTCCTTACTCTCTCTCCTTTTACAAAAAGAAATGTTAATTAATTTAGACTTATTTGATGTTAAATTGCATGGGAAACATTATCAAATAAGAAGTGATACTTAACTTTCTTAGGTTATATTTATATAGATATATATTATTAACATAAGTAATTCAGAAATTTATATGAAATTACTAAAAATCTGATATATCCTGGTATAGTTTTATCAGTCACAACTCCAGTTATTATTTTGTAATATTGTATGTCACAAACATAACCAAATTTACTTATCAACTGCATCATTTTTAGCTCTCACCAGAGCTTTAACCATAGCTATTTTTAAGTCTTTTCTCATTCAGAGCTATTATTTTACTCTTTATTCTTCTCTGAAAGTATTTGCAAATCAATTACAAGAAAAAATGCTTCATCTTCAAAGAGATTCATGGACAATGTTCTAGAATACAGAACTCTAGAATACAGGTTTCTGATAACTTTAAGATTGTAACCCTGAACTGGGTAAAAATTTCTAGAACTCTATGGAAAAATTGATTGATTCATAAAACTGCTAACCTAAGATCAAACAAACATGAATTAATTACATGAGAATGAATGAACTGATGAAAATGATTATAATTTTTGTGAGTTCATTTGAAACATTGCTGGTTCTTTAATGTTTTGTTTTCCAGATTTAAAGGACTTGCTTTCTCCTTTCTTTGAGGCTATCTCTAATTTATAGCAATTTGGTAAAGTATAACTTTGCAATCAAAGGTTGAAACATTTAACTTTTTCTCTCTACCTGATCCCTCCAGAATTCAGAAACTCATATTAAATTTTCTTGTTTTTCATGACACTATATGTATTTACATAAATTCAATAAGAATCTGTTCTCTTTGTAACAGTACACAATTAGACAAGTCCTTATTAGGCAAGTCTTAGCTTGACTTATTTGCCTAGAGAGACTTTTAAAGGTCTAACCTGAAATTCCTTATTATCAGACAATTTTAAAGAACTAATGTTGACTTTATGAAGCCAATAAAGCCCCACGGATATTAGCAAAGCTTTGGCTGAAATGTTCTATTTGAGAATATGCATAGAATCATTATTCTTGCTACCTTTATATACATAATCAAGCCAAGTTTGATAAGATTAGACTTATGTTTTTACAAATTAGTTTCCCTATAACTACCTTTAATTAAAATGGGATGACCATAGGAAAAAAATTATGTTTCAATAGAAAAACTACAATATATGTATGCATGACCAGATTCTAGTTCTGTTTCTTGTCTATAAATATTACCATCTACCTGTAAACCTCAGATAAACTACCATAAGAGAATATGTATAAACAACCTTCATGCTTGTTGCTATATAGGCCAATCAAAAGAGTTCACCAGAACACCCAGTGACATCATCAAAGACAATCAAACTGCAAATCAGGAAAATTCATCAGATTGAAACTGCCATCTTCATTCCACCATCTAACTTTGCTTCAAACTCAAATGTAGACATTTCCTCAACTGGCTGCCCTCCAAACTCAGAAATTAAGTTCATAATTGCTCCAACTATTACTCTTTATTTTTCTTTCATTTCCATAGAAATGCCTCTTATTAAATTACCTGATTGTTCATATCATAAAGAGGTCATATTGGAGGAAGTTCACCTGCAACATCCCTTCCTGAAATAAAATATCCTCATGTTCATCTTCTCCTAAGTAATCATGAAGATATGTGATTGCTATTACATATGTTATACCTATGTAAATAACTCAGAAAAATTGAGACCCAATTACACATTATTCAGAAAAGTATAGGTTGACTTAAACCCAAGTCTTAATAGAAGTCTTTTTATTTATTTATCTTGCTAAGTGTTGGTTCCTAGGACTCTCTGCTCTGGGGAATTTTCAATCCTGGGATATTAGTCTCTTTGTAGTCATCATATCAACCTCCCTAGAGGGCTTACCTAAAACCTCTCTAGGGTTTTAAATTCCACTCATAGGTCAAATGTATCCATCAGGATTAGACAACTGGAAGGACCTAAGGATGGTTATACCAATGGGGAAAACAGTGACATGACCCTCCATCCCAACTACTCAACTGTTGGAGGCAGCGAATATGTGACTCTCCATCCAGACTACATCAACAATGGTATCTGAGAGAAATGCTATACTGGTTAGTCACACACACAGCTTATTGAAAGGATGGCCAAAAGACGAGAATTGTGAAACAAAATCAAATGGAGACCAGGCTTGAAAATCTCCCGAGTAGACAAAACCACTTAAGCCATGTAAGTAAAACTAAATCTAGTTCATTTCAATAAACATAAGCAAAACTTAACTTAGGTTATTTTTCATAAGTGCCTCCGATGATCAAAAAAGAAACCAGTCATCTTCCTAAAATGGTATGAGATAATCACTTGTATCCAATCCCTTGCTGGCTGGAAACTCCCATTCTAATCACCAACCATTGTAAAGGTTAAATCATTTTCTCATTTTCACTTCATAAGCCATCCTGTAACATCATATCCTTGAATTTCATGACAGTTTTGAATTTGAAAGCTCCTAGTTTGCAACCTGCTTTTATATGCACACACACAAAAAAAATTCTTACTAAATACTGTTTTACTTATTTGGCTTTAGTTTTTCTATTTCTGGATTTCTGGTTCTTGAAAATTTCAAAAGAGATTTTAAATAACTCCCAAGCTAAGAAGAAATACAAGCAAATTACAAACTACTTATAACTCAAAAACAAGAGTGCTGCATGGCAAAATTTATGGGATGCAGCCAAAGCAGTACTTTGAAGCCAATGAATACCAATAAACATGTTTATTGATAGAAAAGATAGACTGAAATGAAATGAACTTAACTTTCAAATCAGGAAGAGCAACAACAAAATAATCCAAGGAAAGTAGAAGGAAGGAAGTAGAAAAGATTTTTTTTTAATTATAAATTAATCAACAGAATAAAACTGATCCTTTGATGAGACCAACCTTTGGTAAGTTTGACTAAGAAAGACAAAGCACATGAACACAGGTACCTGAGGAAGGCATGAGGCTAAATTTCAGACACAAAGGCAAGTTCCTTAACTTTGCTTAGTGCAGGAGAGATGCAGAAAATAAAATCTATCTGAAAGTTCACCAGAACACCCAATGACATCATCAAAGACGATCAAACTGCAAATTGGGAAAACCCATCAGAGTGAAACTGCCATCCTCATTCCACCATCTAAATTTGCTTCAAACTCAAATGTAGACATTTTCTCAATTGGCTGCCCTACAAACTCAGAAATTAAGTTTATAATTTGCTCCACCCACTAATCTTTGTTTTTCTTTCGTTTCCATAGAAATGTCTCCTATCAAATTACCTGATTGTTCACATCATATAGAGGTCATATAGGAAGAAGTTTACCTGCAACATCCCTTCCTGAAATAAAATATCCTCAATAGTTAACAAAAAATCCTGGCCCACAAATTCCTGTCAGCATGAAACAGCATATGCAGGGGAATTATCACATTGCCTGCCTCATAGAAACAATACTAAACACTAGCAACTATGATGTCATGGACTTAAACATACAGAGCAGTGACCCTCAGTCCTGGCTTTACATCGGGATTCCCTGTGATAATTTTAAAAAGTCTTACTGACTATTTCTATTATTAGGGACAATCTGATTTTCTCATAGGAGGAATCACTTTTATAATTCTCTAGACGATATTGTTAACACAACCTTGCTTTATAGGTGTTTCCAAACTTGGGAATGTCTGATTTTGTAATCTTTTTTTCCCCAGAATATTTCTTTGGTTTCTTCTCATGTAAGCTTCAAGACTGGTAAAGTCTGAAATTAGAAAATGTTTCAGCATTTTCTTTCTTTTTGCTCTCTACCTCCTAACAGTCCATAATCAAGGGTTTGTTTCGGCCACAAAATAAAATTTTAAAAAGTGAAGCTGTCTTTAAAAAGTGAAGCAGCCCCTGAGACAAGGATCTGCATACAAGTGGTTTATTTGGGAGACTATCTCAGGAAGCGTCAGTAGGAAAACAGGAAATTGAGCCAAGGAAGGGAAGGAGGCCAGTGAGGTGCACTAAAGCCTAGGTTGCCACTGTGCATGTATTAACATATCAATCTCCCTTTCACTATTTGCTAGTTAGGGTATCTGTAATGCCCCTGCCCATCTTTAAAATAATAATTAAAAAAAAACTATTCTTTTCTGTTTGTGACAATGAACTAACCAAGAAGAGAGAGGCCACCAATCACAAAACCAGCAGGATATAAACTTCTAATGATCATCCTGGGGTTGAGAGGTTATTTTTATTAGATTCAGCTGGGGTGGGGGGTGTCATTGTTTCCTGATATACAATAACTAAGAAATGAAAGTAATGTCAATACTGTGATTTGTAGAATCCCTTTTACTTCCAAAAGGATGTTCTATTCACTTATGCATTCATTCAACATGCTTTTATGGCAGAGTTACATTTTATAAGAAGCAGTAAGCTCTGAAAAAGGTAAGAAAAATATTGCCTTTAAAAATTCCTGAAATAACTGACAAAGTACCATATACATGGTCTGTGCATTGCCAAAGTACTTGGTTTGTATTTAGACACCGTGTTGTATTAAAAACATGTATTTTTAAACGTTAGTCTGATAATCACATTCAGCACAATGAGATGCTCACTCAAAGAGGAGCTCAAGGGAACAGAAACTGACAAAAGAATGGCAGATTCAAAGTTCCCATCTCATTCTCTCTCTACAGCAGAAATCAGCAAACTTTTTCTGAAGAGGACAAGATGCAAATATTTTAAGCTTTGTAGTCTCTGTCACAAGTACCCAACTCTGCCATTGTAGCACCAGAGCAGCCATAAACTAAATATAAATGAATGGACATGGCTGTGTCCCAATAAAACTTCACTGACAAAAACAGACAGCAGGCAAGGTTTGACTTACACCTTGTAGTCTGCAGACCCCATTCTAGTTGCCCACCCAGCGCCTAGGATGGGTGAACAGAATCACAGGCATTATTTTGATGGGTTTTTTCTCTCTCTCCTTCTTTGTGCAGTTAACAGAAATTCAATAGCTAGGTGATACAATTTTACTGGACTGAACTCCTGCATCAGAAATGATGTAGGGAGCACTGTTATTCAACATAGTATTAGAAGTCTTAGCTTCAGCAATCAGACAACACAAAGAAATAAAAGGCATCCAAATCGGCCAGGAGGAGGTCAAACTTTCACTCTTTCCAAATGACATGATATTCTATATGGAAAACCTAAAAGATTCCACCAAAAAACTGCTAGAACTGATCCATGAATTCAGCAAAGTGGCAGGATATAAAATCAATGCACCGAAATCGGTTGCATTCCTATACACCAACAATGAAGCAACAGAAAGAGAAATCAAGGAATCGATCCCATTTACAATTGCACCAAAAACCATAAAATACCTAGGAATAAATCTAACCAAAGAGGTGAAAAATCTATACACTAAAAA